TCATTCTCCTCCTCCTCCTCCTCCTGTTCCTCCTCCTCCTCCTCCTCCTCCTCATTCTCCTCCTCCTCCTCCTCCTCCTCCTCCTCCTCCTCCTCCTCCTCCTGGGAGGCGGGGAGCGGCATGGCGCGGGGGAGGCCAGGGCTAGGACGCGCCGCAGCGTGCCGCGCGCGAGAGAGAGAGAGAGAGAGCGAGGCGCGAGAGGGCGTCAGGGAGAGAGCAGACAGCGAGAATCGCAACGAGTCGCAGCGGCAAGGACAGCCGCGAGAACGACGACAGCGACACCGGTGTCGCTGCGCTGTCGCTGCGTCCGTTGTCGTTGCTGTCGTTGTCGTTGCGATCGTTGCCGTTGCGGTCGTTGTCGTTGCGGATCGCGACAGCGCTATCGTTGCGATCGTCGTCGTTGTTATCGTAGTTGCCGCTGCCGTTCAGGCAGGGCTCCTCCTCCTCCTCCTCCTCGTCCTCCTCGTCCTCCTCCTCCTCCTCGTCCTCCTACCACCCCTCTCCGCCTCCTCCTCCTCCTCCTCCTCCTCCTCCTCCTCCTCCTCCTCCTCCTCCTCCTCCTCCTCCTCCTCCTCCTCCTCCTCCTCCTCCCCCGCCGAGGGCGGAACGCCGAGGGGAGGGATGGGGGCAGCGGGGGGCAGGCCGCGAGCGGGGAGGCCCCGTCGGCGTGCCCCGGCCTCCCTTCTCCGAGGTCCGACGCCAGGAAGAATCAGGAGGGGAAAAAACACACAGACACAATTAATCGTCGATCCCCCAGAAAATATCGGAAAATATGGGAAAAGGGGGGGGAAGACGAAAACCCTAAAAAATATAGGAAAATATGGGAATCTTTTTATTTGTGTGTATTTATTTGTGTGTCCTGGGGCCCCTTCAAAGAAGCCGGATCCGACGCAGAAGTGACTCGCCCGGATCCCTGGACCCCAGCCCCAGAGATCTATCGGGGGTGGACAGAACCCCCAACAGTGACACGTCGATTAGTGAACTGTCCGTTTTCGATTCTCGAGAGGGCGCCGTGGCCGTTATTTTCCAGGCTTGCGCCCGCCAGGTTTGGGCCTCAGGTCGTTTTCACTAAACCACGTTTTGCTAAAGGGGGGTCTGTCCATCCCCGAATCTAGCGTATCGAAGAAGCCAATGTGGATGCTTTCCGTCGGTTTCGGCCTCCGGGGGCCCTGGCCGGGCCCCTCAGGACCGCAAAAGAACGCCCCAGGATGCAAACTGGTCCTGGTGAGTGGGTCGAGACTTCTGGGGACCCCGTACTGGCAAAAATCAAGCTCTCGGATCTGTAGGTCTCTCTGCTGCGTTTGTCGAGGGTCTCCTCTGGAGGTGTGTTGACCCAGCGTGCGCCTGCCCCGTTGGGCTCCGCCGATCGCGCGCAGCAGGTGCCCGCCCTCACGGCACCGCCTGCGTCCCAGCGGAGGTCCCCAGTGGACGGGCGCACGCTGGCGGCGCCAAACGCGCGTGCTGATCGTCAGCAGGACGCCCGAGGCGGATCTCATGGGCCTGTTTTCCACCACCACCACCATAAGTTAAAGGGGGGAAGGAGGTAGAGGATGAGGAGGAGGACGAGGAGGAGGAGGAGGAGGAGGACCCCCTCCCGCTCCCACTTATGGTAGTGGTGGTGGAAAACACGCCCACCAGGATCGGTCCGCGAGGGCCGCGGGGCCCGAGGCGGGGCAGGCTGCCGCCCGCTGCGGACACAGCGTGCGGCGCCGGGACCGCCCGAGGCCCGGCCCGCTCGCCGGGCGCCCCGCGGGCGCAGGTGTCCTGAGGGGCTTCAACGGCACGGTCTTCGCGTACGGCCAGACGTCCTCGGGGAAGACCTTCACGATGGAGGCGCGGCGCTGGCTTGCAGTCGTCGCGCGCGCCGTGGTCTTGACGACGACGAGGACGGCTGACGAGGACGAGGACGACGAGGACGAGGACGAGGACGACCGACGAGGACGAGGGCCAGGACGAGGACGATGACCGTGGCGACGCAGAGCCGCCAAGCTTGAGCATCTCTAGCACGTGTGCGGTGGGGATCGATGAACGGAGCGAGCAGCTTGTACATGCCTGGGCATTCGCCATTGTGAGCTTGCGGTTTCGTCAGTACGTGGTGATTCTCAGAGTTCTGCGTTGGCCGTCCTGCTTTCAGATCCACTCACGGATGACGAACGCACCACCACGCATGCTTCGCCACGAGACTACCAGGGGCCAGACATGGACGACCAGACGCTCCAGGGCGTCATCCCGCGGATGGTGTGGTCCGTCTTCGACGGCATATACCACGCAGACGAGCACATCGAGTTTCTGGTGACCCCTAGCGGCGTGCGAACCTTGACCCCTGCTGCTGCTGATGCTGCTGCTGTTGGTCCTCCTCCGCATGTGGCGTTCGTTGTCGCCTGCCTGCTTATCTCTCCCCTTGTTTCCCCCCTCATGTTTTGTTTTGTTTTGTTCTCTCTCTCTCTCTCTGCCTGTCTCATTATATATCTCTCTCTCTCTCTCTCTCTCCCTTTCTCTCGCTTTCCCTCCCTCCCTCGCTCTCGCTCTCTCTCTCTCTCTCTCGCTCGTTCTCTCCCTCTCTAACGCCCTCCCTCGCTCCATCTGTTCCCCAGCTCGAGACATGCGGCAGGTAAATGGGGCCCTGGGCCCCGGCCGATTTTTTCCCCTACTGGCGTGTCGCTGGAGGGCTTGCAACAGCGGCCAGGAAAAGACCGCCGAAGAGCCCCACAAGGGGGGGGGGTCGGGGAGCCCGAGGCCGCTCCGCCCATGGGGCGGTCTGGCAGACGACGACGACGACGACGACTGAGATTTCCTGGCGAGGAGGAGGAGGAGGAGGAGGAGGAGGATTTCCTTCAGCTTCGCTTCTGAGATTTCCTGGCGACTTCTTCGGGGCTTCGTGCTCTCGCCGCCACCGGCGGCCACACCTCTGGTGCGGACGGCCCCGGGGCGGCCCCTGTCCGCTCTCCTGGGATGCCGTGGTCGCCTGGCCCTCGGGCCGGAGCGTCTGGGCGGCGCGCGCGGACACCACGCGCAGTGTCCGTGTGCGCGTCCCGCGGTTGCGGGGCCCTCGTCGCCTGTCCCTCGAGGCGGTGGCGCGGGCGGGAGTGGGAGCGGCTCGACGCGCCCCCGCCGCCTCGCGGCCATCCATCTGTGGTCCAGACGGCCACGATCCTCTGTGAGACGTAGTCTGAGGTGCATCTGGCCGTGCTCTCACCCCCGTTTCCCTCATGCCGACCTCCCAACCCTCGACCCGCCTCTTCGCCCTTGCTGCTCGCAGGATGCTCTGCCGGGGGGGGCCCTGATAGCGTTTCGCCGGAGGGTTCTACAACGTGTCAGGTATTCCTGTCTTCCGAGTCCGCAGCGGGGGCTGGGGGGAGGCGTCTCACCGGTCCGGCGGCGGTCCGGAAGGGTCTGGAATCGAGTCGCCATGGTGTCGTGGCTCGAGTTGGTGCAGAAGTGAGCCCTTCAGCGTGTTCTGGCCCGATTTGGGCCCGAAATGAGGCTCGCTTTGATGTTCTGGCTCGACTTCAGATCTCCCAGATTCTCTATATTTGGTCCCGAATTGAAACTGTTGTGTTCTGGTTCGAGTTCGTTTCGCGAGCATTTCCACAGGGGAGGCCAAGGGGAGGCGTCTCATCCGTCCGGCGGCGGTCCCGAGTCGACTCGCTATGGTGTTCTGGCTCGATCTCAGCTCTCGCAGATCCAGAAATGATACCCACTCGTCTGTTCTGGCTCGATATGGTCCAGACATGAGGCTCACTATTCTGTTCTGGCTTGATCTCTACCCTCCCAGTCCAGAATTGAGAGTCACTATGGTGTTCTGGCTCGATCTGTAAGTCAGGTCCACTCTTGTGCTCTGGCTTGATTGCAATTCAAATAGTCCTGTCGCTCGAGTCTCCGCAGGGGCCGCGTGTTCTGGCTCGGTATCAGCACTCGCAGATCCAAAAACGAGTCTCACTCTTGTGTTCTGGCTCGATTTGATCCAGAAGCGCTGCTTACTATTTTGTTCTGGTTCGAATTGATGCAGAAGTGGGACTCCTTATGGTGTTCTGGCTCGATATTAATTCAAGTGCTCTTCGCACCAGAATCTCCACGGGGGGTGAGTGTTTTGGGCCGATTTTAGCCCTCGCAGATCCAGAAATGGTAATTCTTCGATTGTTCTAGCTCGATTTCAGCCGACGCAGGTCCAGAAGTTGTGGTAGGGACATCGGATTCTCATCATTCCAGTTGTCCTGGGTCAAGAAATTGGCGGGGCCATCGGCTTCTCACCATTCCAGCTGCCAGGAGTGGGGTCGCTCGGTCCCTGATGCTATTCCAAGCGCGTTCATGTTTCCATGCCGACATTGCGAACGTCGCCCTCGTCAGCAAATTCAACTCCCCAATCGTATCGACAATCTGATGACGTCGATCTCGCAAGCCGACGTCTCCGGCGTCAATCCGCCTCCACATCTTAGCTGCTATTAGGGTGCTTTGCTGGGGTAGCGTGATAGGTTGCAATTTTCCATGACGTCGGATCTCCGGGCTTGCCGGTCCCGCGCCGACTTCTCTCGTCCGCGCGCCGGCCTTGTGTGGGGATCCCGTTGCTCGAGGCTCGGCCGTGTTCTGCCTGTGGCGCGCGGTTGGCCGTTCGCCCAGCGTGTCCGGGCACAGCAAAGAACCTCAACCACAGCTACGTAAATTTTTCTGGAGGGTTTCTCGGCTTTGTGGCTACCGATTTGGCCGTCTCGGACGCCCACATCGACCACGACCAGTACAGCGATGGCTTCTGTGTTTTGACGATTGTCGGCGTGCGCAGGGCATCTCCCAGGGTGCGTGCTCGATGTGAGGGGAACTAAAACAGGGCTAGGATCGGGATAAATCGCTCCAGGCGGTTCAGGAGCGCTCTCAGAGCGTTCCGGAACGCTCTGGAGCGGCCGAGGCGCCCAATACATCCTCCAAACCCGCCGATTCTCAGAGATTTCGAGTTATCCCGATTCGATTTTGTCCCGATCTTCGCGTCGTTTTAGGAACGAGCAACGACACAACCTCGGAGGTCCGCTCAGATTTTCCGGATCGGCGCAGGAGTCCCGTCCCCGTCGCGCGGAGCGGCGCCGGAGGCGCCGCGAGGGAGCTCCAGCGCCGAGGCGAAGAATCCCCGCGGACCTCCGCGTTTTTATGTGGATGTCATTGTTTGTCCCCCGAAGGACAGGCCCACAGGGTGCGTGCTCGATGTGGTTGTGGTCGCTTGCCGTCCCCGCAGCGTGCCCCGCGTGCCGTCGTGGCGGCGCGCGGGGGCGTCGTGCACTGCGCGCGGCGCGTGCGCCGCAAATGGCACGGCACGGCGCCGTCGCGCGCCACGCGGCGTTTGGTGGCGGCAGTGGTCCGCCGCCGGTGCTGTTTGGGCCCTCGCAGAGCATCGGCTACACCTCGAAGATCAAGAGAGTCGGCGGCGAGCGAGGGGGGGAAGTGCGGGCCTCTCTGGGGCCTCCTGGGAGGCCCTCGTCGCCACGGCCGGATTCGTTGCGGAACCATGGTCAGAACGCACCCCAGGGGAGGTGTGGGCTTTTTCGGCGGCGAGCGAGGGGGGGAAGTGAGAAGGAGAAGGCTCTCTCAGAAGGCGGCAGGGCTTCTCACAAGCCCTCGGGCCTTCTGAGAGGTTTTCTGTGTCTTCGGGGAAGGCTCAGGAAACGTCTCAGAAGGCCGTGGGACTTCTCAAGAGGCCAGAGCCTTCTGAGAAGGCCCGCCACTTCTTACTTCGCACCATGGCTTGCCGCCGAGCTCATGAGTATCATTTTTCGGAGGTCCGTGCGGATTCCTTGGATCGGCGCTGGACCCCCCTCCCTGGCGCGCGGAGCGCGCCAGGGGTGGCGCCGGAGGCGCCGCCAGGGGGTTCAGCGCGGACCCAAGCAATCCAGAGAAAGGTGGTCGTTTTCTTTTTCATTCCTTTCTGCCTCCCTCTCCCCCTCTTCTGCCCAATGTCGAAACGCCGAATAAGGAAACGCCCACCAGCATGTTTATCTGTTTTGTCTGTGTCTCGATGCACGCCAGAGCGGCTCCTCGGTGCGCGGGGCTTTCGGGGGGCGCTCGCTGCCGCCGCGGCGTCTGGGAGCGGTCGGCAGACAGGGCACCGAAGGTCGCTCTTGTGATGGGCCTGTTTTCCACCACCACCACCATAAGTTGGAGGGGGAGGGGGTCCACCTCCTCCTCCTCCTCCTCCTCCTCCTCCTCCTCCTCCTCCTCCTCCTCCCCTCCTCCTCCTTCCCCCTCCAACTTATGGTGGTGGTGGTGGAAAACAGGCCCATCATCTTGCACTGGTCACTGGCTCGGTCGGACTGCTTCGCCTCCAGGTTTGCAGTTCACTTCGCCCGTGGATATGTCGCGCGTAAGCCCCGAGCTGTCGCTCGTGCCTGGAGTTGCCCGTGCGCCCAGCTGTGACTTCGGCTCGAGCTGCTGCGAAGTCGTCTCCCTCCACGATTGCGCAATATGAATATGACACCGGAGAAAAAACCCAATCAGATTTTTGTTGGGGCTATGGGGCTGTAGTGAGGCTATAGGGCTATAGGGCTATAGGGCTATTCGGCTATTGTGCTATAAGGCTATCGGGCTATAAGGCTGTAGAGCTATAGGACTATAGGGGTATACGGCTATGGGGCTATCGGGCTATATGGCTATAGGGTTATAGGGCTATAGGGCTAGAGGGCTGTGGGGCTATGGGGCTATAAAACTATAGGGCTATAGGGTTATAGGGCTATTGGGCTACTGGGCTATATGCTATTGGGCTATTGGGCACCCTGGGCACCCGGGCACCCAGGCACCTGGGCCCGGCCACCGAAATCGGCGACCAACCTCACCGGCCACCCGGGCACCCGGGCACCGCTGGGCACCCAGGCACCCGGGCCTGGCCACCGAAATCGGCGACCCACCTCACCTAAACCTTGAATCCGCTAGGACCCCTACAGAGGCAAGCTCTGATTGGGGAACTACTCTCCTCTCTTCTCGTCTCCCTCCACAATTACGCAATATGAATACTACTCTCCTCTCTTCCCTGGTGGCGTCCGGGGAATGTCCGGCCCCCTCCGCGTACTGTTATTTTGCAGGATTTCCAGGAGTTGGGTTTTCGCTTAGGCTTTTTTCAAAATGCTGCTCTCGCTGAAGCGCTCGCCCCACTCTCGGGCTGCCGCTCGTTCCGAGTCGTGCTCCCGCTGCAGCGCTGGCCTCATTTCCGCGCGTACGCTCGTTCCGAATCGTGGTCCCGCTGCAGCGCTGGCGTCATTATTTCCTGCGCCATGCCCTGGCATGGTCTTCGGTTTTTCCAAATAGGCCCCCAAATCTAGAAAATGGCCTCCCGAAAAAACCATCGGAAGTGATTACACATTCGGTGTCGATTCGTTGATTTTTTGGGCCGCGGAAGCCCCCCGCCCGACTTCGGGGCGTCGCCACGCCATGCTATGTCAGGCTACGCGTCTTCAATTCCGCGCTTCCGCGCAGAGTTTTTTTTTGTTTTCTGTGTTTTTTTTGGGGGTGGGGTGGGTCAAAATGCTGCTCTCGCTGAAGCGCTGGCCTCATTTTCGGGCTACCGCTCGTTCCGAATCGTGCTCCCGCTGCAGCGCTGGCGTCATTATTTCCAGCGCCATGCCCCGGCATAGTTTTCGGTCCTTCCAAATATGCCCCAAAATCTAGAAAATGGCCTCCCGAAAAAACCATCGGAAGTGATTTCACATTTGGTGACGATTCGTGGATTTTTTGGGCCGCGGAAGCCCCCTACCTTGGGGCCTCGGGCCATGCTATGTAGTGCTACGCGTTGTCTTCGACACCATGCTATGCCATGTGATGCTATGCCATGCTGCGACATCCGCCTGTGCGAATAGAGAGGAGATCTAAGCCATGGTAAGGGATGGGAGGGAGGGGTAGGACGTCAGATATGACGCGAGCGCACCTAGCTTGTCTCCCCTCCCTCTCGCTCTCTCCGAACGGGGGAGAAGGAGAGGGTCGCACGACGAGCCAGGACGCGAGGCGAGGCGAAGCGAGGGGGGGGGGTAGGGGGCGAGCGAGCAAGGGACAATGACCGAGGAAACGCGCGCGCTTCTCTCCTCCTCCGGGGGCGTCTGCCGGCGTGCCACTGGGCGCACGGCCACCTGTCTGGCGATCGCAAACATGGGTCAAGGGGGCGTGGATGAGAAATCGAGGATTTCCGCCGCCGAGCGAGGCGGCACCGTCCGCATTTTGGGGAGGGCCAATCTCAGAGCGTGAATTACCTACCCCGCTTTCGCTTCCAGGCAAAACCGAGTCATACCATACGCCTCCTCGTCAAGCGGCCTGACAAGTACATGCCGCAGTTTGGCATCGCTTGGTATCTCTTGGAAGCGAGGGTGGTCAAAAGCGAGGTAGGCTTGTTTGCCCCCTATACACCGTAGGCGATGCTTAAGAAAACTTCAGTTTTCGGCCAGAGTCTCGATTATTCTTAACGTTTCCATGTAAATCTTCACATTTTAATAGAAACGTTGGGTTTTTTTATTCAAGTTCTGAGACTATGAATTTCTTAACCCATGATTTCTTGAGCATTTCGCAGGGTGTAGGCCTGTTTGCCCCCTATGTAATCCACGTTGGCGCGCCCCCGAAGCACGGGGGGCCGTCTCCGCCAGCGCTGCCGCGCCAGCGTGCCCGCGCGGAGTGTCGCGGGTCGGCGCCCGTCGCTTCCAAGCGTGGCGTGTGCCGCGCCGGCGGCCTGGCGCGAGCCCAGCGCGTGAGGGTCACCATGACAAGGTGCGCAAGTCAGGAGGGGAAAAAACACACAGACACAATTAATCGTCGATTTTTAGGAAAATATGGGCAAATATGGGAAGTGGGGGGGAAGACAAAAACCCAGGAAATATAGGAAAATGTGGGGGATATTTTTATTTGTGTGTATTTATTTGTGTGTTCCAGCTCCCCTTCAACCATGACAACGTGCGTAAGACCCTTTTTTCCCTACCTGGGCTCTGCCTAGAAGGGTCGGCGCCCTCGTTTCCAAACGTGGCGTGCCGCGCCGGCGGCCTGGCGCGAGCCCAGCGCGTGAGGGTCACCATGACAACGTGCGTAAGACCTTTTTTTCCCTACCTAGGCTCTGCCTAGAGGGGTCGGCGCCCTCGTTTCCAGCGTGGCGTGCCGCGCCGGCGGCCTGCGCGAGCCAGCGCGTGAGGTCACCACGGCAGCGTGCGCAGGACCCCTTTTTTTGGTACCCCAGATTTCGTAATAAAAGGGAGGGGGGTCTCATTTCGGGGGGGGTCTCTTCCAGGCTGTCTTGGAGGGCCTGGGGGGTCTGGGGACGATGTTTTGGAGGGTTCTCCCACGGGGGAGGTCTGAAATGGCTTGTCTTGGAGGGTCCAGACCCCCTCCCTTTTATTACGAAATCTGGAGTACCCTCGGCCACGCGCGGAGGGGGGTAGGGGGGAGGGAGGGGGGAAACCCTCTCAGAAGCACTCCTGCTTCTCAGAATGGCGCGGGCCTTCTCTGCGGGTGTAGGCCCGGTGCCTTCTTAGAACCGGCCTCCTTTAAGAGGCCGTCCCCCCCTCTCCCCCTACCCCTGGCATCGCTCGGACGTGTGCATTTTTTTCTCGGCGAGGACCCTGGAGGAGCATCCTGGACCATCGAGCAAACAACAACACGCACGAAACGGACAAATGCACAGGGAATGGACGTCCGAGCGATGGCAAGTCCCCCTTTGTGCGCGCCGCCAAGACCTGCCTAACCTCTCCAGACGATCGGGCTCGAGACCCTCCTGCCTGCGGTCACCCGGGCGCACAGCCGGAAGCAGCTCCCAGCGAGCGGGCGCGACGAGCTCGTCGCCCCCCGCGCGGGCGCCGCGGCCGCGTGCGCGCTCTGCACCTCCCTCGCCTCCACCGGGGCGCGCTGCCTGCTCCCTGCCCTCGCCTTTGGTTTTCTGTTCTCGCCCCCTCCTCCTCCTCCTCCTCCTCCTCCTCCTCCTCCTCCTGCTCCTCCTCCTTCTCCTCCTCCTGCCTCCTCCTCCTCCTCGTCCTCCTTCTCTATGGCCATTTGGGCTCAAGCCATTTTGGCTCGAGCGCTTTTTGAGTCGGCTGCGCCAGGCGCTTCTCTTCTAATCTTCTCCTAGTGTATGCACACTGAACCAGATTCTGATATCGAGGAGAGGGAAGCTGCAGCTCACGCTCAGAAGCGGTCGAAGTCCTCAGCATCCAACGACGGTCCCGCAATGGACGCCCAGGCAATCCAGAATATGATTGAGCTCGCCTCCACCCGTGCTGCCGAGAAGACGGGAGAGGCGAGCATGGCCCAAGTCAAGGAGGTCGCCACCACCGCTGCGAAAGCGGCAGCCCGTGAAGTGCTCGCCGACCTAGACTCCAGGATGCGGAAGCTGGAGAGCAACCCGTCCCTCGCAGGAGGTGCCTCCACGACGGGCGGGACTGTCCGAGGTGACGGGCCCTACGCTCCCAGTGCCGCTGAGAGACATGTACCTGGAGGTGTCGACATCAAGGGCTTCGTGGATGACTGGAAGGACCCCGACCCGTCGAGCCTCACCGCGCAAGCTGCGCAGAGGCTCCTCCACCTCGTCTCATCCAATTTGGCGACGGAACTCAACGGCCTTATCGACGCGCCCCGCACCACCGCCATGCTGGACAAGAAGGCACTGCACACCAAGGTCACTATTTATCTCAAGGATCGGAGTCGAGGCAATGCCTGGACGCTCAAGAAGGCCATCCAAGCCCTGGCCGACAACGGCACCCTGCCCGTGCGGAACCGTGCGCCACAGAGTGTGGTCGAACCAGATTCATCTTTTCAGACGTTCAGAATCAGGCCGCGAAGTTCTACGCGGCCACAGAGACCTTCGGCATGAGCAAGACGCGTATGAAGCTGGACTACCTGAAGATCGGAGGCAGCCAGCACATCGTGGCCAGGAGGATCGTGGGCGTGGCCCACCCCGTCAAGCTGGCCACCTTCTCGCAGGCCATGGGCTGGTCACTCTCGCTCCAGAATTGGAGGGACTCGGGCTGCACGGCCGAGGAGACAGACATCATGGGCGCCATCACCAACGCGTGACGCAGCCGAGGTCGATCACGTCTTAGGGGTAGCAGTCGCATTGCGGGTCTCACTATCGTGTCCTGGAATGTGACTACTGCTCCGATGTGTACTCTGCCTGATATTATCAAAATAGTTACCGATTTCTATTGATTTGATGTGATTGTGACTCTTCAGGAAGTTTCTTTTTGGAAGCAGGAGCTTGAAGATGGTATACACATCGGAAACTGGGAATGTCATCATGCATCCAATTCTTACGTGGCCATGCTTTGGCCAGCTCACCTTTCTTCGTGTGTGCAGTCTCGGTATATTAGCAGTGCGAGAGTGGCAGGTGTCATCCCTCAGCGCCTCTGTGTTCAGATCTGCTACCTACCAGACTGGCTCAAGGGTTCATTTTGGCTCAAGGGTTCATTTTGGCTCAAGGGTTTGGCCAAGGGTTTGGCCAAGGGTTTCGCCAAGGGTTTCGCCAAGGGCTGGCTTGCTTCCAGGCACAACCTTTCTCAACTTCCTCATACCCTACAATCCCATACCCTACAATCCCATTTCCCAGAACTTACTCTTACCATCATCAGATTTCACATCTCTCTTGCTTTGTCGGTGGATATAACCCTTCTTCGATCAGATGGCTGGACGTCAGGTACTTTCGAAGCGTGGAAGGGGCAGCGATGAAGCAGAAGAAATTGAAGATGCAGCCGATCTGGTCGTAACACGGTCGGAGCTCGACACAATTTTGAACAGTCTTCGAGGAGATTTTGACACGATTGTGCAATCGAACGTCAAACAGGCTTCGAAAGAGTTTCTACAATCAACTACGTCTGCGATCAAGAAGATGGCGGAGATGCAGGACCGGCGCTTCGTGCAGCTCGAGACGCAGATGGGCGACCTGAGCGCTAAGCAGACTGCACTACAACAGGATCAAAAAGAGATGCAAGCCTCCATCGAGAAGATTCTGAAGATCATTGCCGAGGCCGAAGCTTCCATTCCCACCCCTTTACCTACGAATGGGTCGAATTGGGAGCGGGACTTGGGCCCAACTATCTTCAAGCTGTCTTGCGCGGAGCTCTTCACCACCACAGAGGCCCTCAAGTCCATAGAAGAGTGGATTGGTGAGTTGGGCATCCAACGCGACCAATGGACAATTGAAGGTACTACGCCTGCTAAACGCTTTACGCTCCGATTCAAAGGGGCATCCGGCTTAGCATCGCGACGAGTTCAAAAAGCATATGATTTACTCCGCAACCATGGCAAGTGGAGAGACTTTCGTGTCCAGACCGTTACGGGGGAGTTGAAGAATTTGTACATCTCCTTGGACAAGAACGGCAAACAGATTAAGACCGAAATCCAGACGAGGAAGGCGTTCGACATCATGAAGCTCCAGCATTCTCAGTTGCCATGGAGGGCAGACAAACACAGGGGGACCGTCTCGGTTGACTGGGACCCGATTCTCAAAATCGAGCCCGCCCCCGGGGACGAGCCTACCAAGCTACTCTGGAATTACAGTGGGGTTGCGAAATATACGATTGACAATGATGCTATTGCCCACGCGTTTCGGGAAGATTTCAAAGCGAGACCTGAGCCAGTGTGGCAAATCTGACTCCCTCACGAGACCTTGTAAGAGGGACGGCCTACGTGCCGGCAGTACCACTACAAGTACGTTCACCACGAAGGGGGGGGGGACGCGGTACGTATAAAGACGTTGCTGGCGACTTCCCTGTGGCAGCCATGCGTTGTCGCACCAATATTCCTACGATTTCAGAAGCTCCTTGTATTCCTTCATCTCCACATTCATCAGTTTCCTCATGCTCATCTTCATTGCCTTCACCCTCGCGTGCCTTATCGTTCTATCCAGACTCTCGCTCCCATGATACTTGCACGATCTATCGCAAGAACGCTCGAGGCCTGAGCAATGGAGACCGGATGGACGAGTTGTTCTCCGAATTATCTACTCTCGAATGGGATTTCTTGACCCTCAATGAGACGTGGCGGACTGTCAAAAGCGAGTTCTGGACCACAAGCGAGGGTCATGCATTCATGGGATGTGGACATACAGACAACCATAGAGGCGTGGGGATCGTAGTTCATCGCAGATGGGTACATCAAGTACAAGCCTTCCATCCTGTGAATGAGCGCATTGCTTATGTCGACGTTGGGAGTGGACGTCATCGTTTTCGAGTTGTTACTGCATATTTTCCTCACGGTGGTTACGCAGATAAGCATGTTCAACAAGTTTACGACATTCTGAAGTGCATCAGCCAAGAAGCCCAAAAGGAGAAGCGCATGATGATTATAGGGACCGACTGCAACGCGAAAGTGGGCCAGCAGACCGAGGAAGACGCCAAGCGCGTGGTGGGGCAGTATGCTTATGGCGACGCGAATGTCCGGGGCCTCTGGTTGAAGCAATGGGCGGCCTCCACGCGACTAAGAATATTGAACACGTTCTTTTGCAAACATGACCACCAGCTCTATACCTACATCTCGCCACAAAGGGATAAGAAACAACTTGACTACTTCTTGGCTAGCAAGCCCGTTTGGGCCACTGTCCGGGATTGTGAAGCCGTTCTTGATCTTGATCTTGGTTCAGATCATCGCGCACTTCGTCTCCAATTATCTTTGCCTTTGGCCCCGGAGAGGAAGGAGACTACGACGAAGCGGAGTCCGAAGTCCAAGAACAACATTCCAAAGTGGCCACCATGTAGTATCGACAGCTATGTGAACACGCTCACCGATCGCTTGGAGCACGTGCTCGCGTACAGTCGCCTCCAGATCACTTGCGAGATCATTGAAGAACAGCTCAGAGATGCACTCCAACATGTGTCCCAAAGAGAGGAGACCGGAAGCACGAGCCGACTTGCATCTGAAACCGTGCGTGCGCTCATGCAGAGACGCCGCGACACGCCTATGACAGATTTTCCTACCCGGCGGCATTTGAGCAAATTGATCAAGAAGGAGACCCGTGCTATCAAGAGAGCTTGCAGACGAACGGCAATCGACGAAATTCTCCAGAAATTTCAGGGCCTCAAGGGCATCTCTGGCATGAAGTCGAGCAAGCACAAGGAATTCATAACAGAGATGGCATCCCAAGGTGGGAATATAGTTCGGGACCGGCAGAGTATCGCAAACGTTTTCGCTGACTTTTACCAGGCTCTTTACCGAGATATTCATAAGAATGGCAATCCGTACAAACAGGATTCCAGCGCAGACGCTATCATGCCGGATTTTACGGGAGATGAGTTGGATCATGTTTTACGTGGGCTCAAAAACAACAAGGCAGCTGACCAGAACGGCATAGTGGCAGAGATGCTGAAGAAAGGCGGTGGTCTACTGCGACGGTGTCTGCTCGACTTGTACAACAACGTCATCAAGCCAGACGCTCCCACGCCAGCAGGTTGGGAGCATACTGTCATCAAAGTGCTCTTCAAAAGTGGCGACCCCCAGCTGCCGAACAACTACCGCCCTATTGCCAGCATACCGGTATTATACAAAGTCTTTTCACGATTGTTGTACAACAGATTGTGCCGTATCCTTGACGATCAACAGTGCGCGGACCAAGCTGGTTTTAGACCGCGGCGCAGTACGACAGATCACCTGTTCACAACTACGATGCTTCAAGAAGCTACGGAGGAATGGCAAATGCCATTATATTTCGCGGCAGTCGATTTCAAGAAGGCGTTTGACAGTGTCACACATTCGAGTATTTGGAGTGCATTACAGAACCAAGGTGTTCCGCCGTGCTACATTGAGGTCCTCGCCAAGTTATACCAGAAGCAATCGGGAGCCGTGAAAACAGACAGAACCAGCAAGACGTTCAGCATCCAACGTGGCGTCAAACAAGGCGACCCGCTTAGTTCTTTATTGTTCAACGCTGTATCGGAAGCAGTATTACGCAAAACAAAATCTAAATGGCGGGCGTCATCAATAGGTGTTCCGGTCAGCCACGTAGGCGAGAGGCTAACCAATTTACGTTTTGCTGATGATCTCCTCTTGGCAGCGACGTCTTTTACGCACATCAAGACCATGATTGTCGACTTGTGTACAGAGGCCGCAGAAGTGGGACTGCAGCTTCACCCAGACAAAACTAAAATCTTATGTAATGGATTTCCTGTTTCACGGCGTCGGAAATTGGACAGTTATGTGACCATCGGCGACATGGCGATCGAAGTGTTGCCGGGATATAAGTCAACCAAGTATCTCGGCAGGAAGTTGCAGTTCAGCGACGCCAACATGGCCGAGGTGGAGAACCGGATCAAAATTGGATGGCGGAAATTCCACGTACTAAAGCAGGAGCTCACTTCTAGAACTTATTCCTTGGCGAGCCGCTTGAAACTCTTCAACGCCTGTGTTACCCCTACAGTTCTTTACGGATGCGAAGCCTGGGTCCCCACGGTAGATGTCTTGGGACGGCTTCGACGCACTCGCAGGCAGATGCTGCGCATGATAGTTCAAGTGCCGCGACGGCGCCTCGAACAAGCATTGCGTGCCGTGCCTGTGACGAGTCCGGCCCATGAAGATGTTGTACATGCCCCCGTTACCCCGCGTCTTGCATCATCGCGATCATCAGGGAGCGACGTCGCATCCAATCCCTCTTCCCCGCCCGACCAGATTGCCGATAACATTGTCGATGTAGATATCGAAATGGAGCCGTGGGTCGACTGGATACGACGCTCCACGCATTACGCCGAGCATCAACTCGCGAAGTTGGGCGCCGCGGACTGGGTTGCAGAAGTCCAGCGGCGACGATGGAGATGGGTCTCCCGCGTCGCCGCCCTCTCCGGAGCAGAATGGGCGAAGATTGTTTTGCTATGGAATCCAGACCAAGTGCTCCCTCGACAAGCTCATCGACGGCAAGGGCGGCAGAAAAAACGATGGTTAGATGATCTTTTGGCACATTTCAGAACACATGTTCGTGAAGACACAGCAACTCTGAACGACATGCTGGAAGCAGCCCGCACGCCCAACTGGGCCACATATGAAAGGTCGTTCTGTGAGTGAAGGCTTCCCCACATGATGATTGTTGTTTTCCACTCTCCCCGCCTCCTCCTCCTCCTCCTCCTCCTCCTCCTCCTCCTCCTCCTCCTCCTCTGACCCGGCTGCCGCGCAGACCGACGCAACTGTGCGGCCAGGCGTCGTTTTCTTTCCGCCGTCTTCCATGTTTCACATGTGGCTGGCGCCCCGGTGCCAACTTGCCGGGCCCTCGCGGCTCGCCCTGGCAAGGCCGATTCCGATTCCGATACCTACCAGACTTCTGGTTTTACACCGTTGCTGAGTTCAAAAACACCATCGACGCCATCATCACTAACCATCGGAACATCGTGAGTGACATCATCGACACTAGCACATCAGCACATACTATCACGGGGGATTTCAAGGTCGTGCTGCCTGAGATCGAGGGATTCACGGGTGGGAAACGGGAGATGGGCTCGAAAGACAGACAGCAGTATTCGCCCTCATGAATCAATCACTTCCGTTGCCACGCTGGTTCAACTCTATCGCTAGAGGGTCACAAACCGCACACCTTCTGTTCATTCATATAGTACGGGCGCCTGGAGGACGCTCGATTACATCTTGTGTGCGAAGACCTTGGATACTCTACCTCTCTTACACAATGCGGAACCTCTACTGGTGGGCGGTGCGCTGCGCGACCACTTCCCCGTTGGCTTGAAGATCAACGGCTGGCTCCAGAAGAGAGCCTGCCATAACCATATGTACGTCGCTGGTTGGAAGCCCGACGGCGAGATGGCATGCCGCAAGTTTCGTGTCCAGACCGAGCGGGGGCTTCGAGAACTTCAGTCACCGGACATTGTTGCGGGCCGCTCCGCTGCCGAGACCTTGTCAAGAGCTGGAGAGGTCATTCGCACTTGCGCGACCAGCGTGCCGTGCACCACTCGCTACTCCCGTCGGGCTGATCCCCAGGTTCGCCCTCCCGCTGTTTGCCAGCTCGAAGACGAGATGAAGGCGGCCGCAGGTATTGCAGCCTACAAGCCCACGCGGAAACGTCTACGCAGAGCCCGGCGCCTTTGGCGTCGTCAGCGACTTCGAGTCGAGTTTCCTCATCTGAGGGCCAGACAGGCCAAGACATAAGGTGTGCCTGCACAACTCCACGACCGCTCTGGAGCTGCTGTGGCGGATCGCACGCAGTGGCTTCACATCATCGAGGACTTCTGTCGCGAGAAGCACAGTGGCCCCACCGCCGAGCGGAGCCTCTTCATTGATCGAGTTCGGGGCCAGCGCTCACGCGGGCAGGCCGAGATTGCCTCTGGCCGCCGTTCACCAGAGATGACTGTCGGCCACGCGTGCCAGGGCCGCGCGAGACTCAAGCTCGACACCTCCGCTGGCAACGACCACCTCACCCTGAGCGGTGAGGCCTGTTTTCAAGTGTTTAAAGCCCGATGCGATGACGGAGGGGGGGAGACGGCTTCTACTTGGATTATTATTATTATTATGACATTTTTAGACAAAGAGGGGGGGGCCCAGCACATGTTCTTGTACCGTGCAGTATCCCTGGTTTTTGGTGTTTTTTCTTTTCTTCCAGAAGTTGTGCATCGACGTTCTCATGGTCCTGGTGGAGGAGGTTGAGGGGCAGACGGATCGCAGCTTCCTGGGCAATTTTGGTTTTCAGACGGGCCGAAATTGCTCCCAACTCACCGGTCCTCTTCGCAATGTTCTCTCCAAGGGATGGGGGTGACCAGAAGGACAGGGCGTGTTTCTCTTCTCGGGAGATGTACTGCGAGCTTTTGATTACCTCGCGCCGTCCGCCTGCTCCCGCGCGACGTGCGCCCGCGGCCTGCGCGGCGAGGTCTCTGCCGCGCTGCTGCTGGATGGAGTGGGCCTAGAGTTATCACCTAACTTCAGAGGCGCCTCGGAGGCCCCGCTGACCCCCTACGCGAAATGTGAAAATACTGGAGCCACTGACGCCACCGAGAAATGGAACTATGTTACTGAACTGGTTGTTGCTGATCTTAGACTTCAATGGAGTGAAACGGGAGGCGGAGTTTTACTAGAAGTCAATCGGTACTGCAACCTCCAATGGGCAGACAACTGGTTGCTTCTCGCGAAGTCGGCGGAGAAGCTCCAGGTGATGATTCAAGACGCCACTTGCGAGATGAGTAAGCTGGGCCTTTTCTGGAAAGCCAAGAGCATAGAGTATCTCACCCCGACCCAGACCCTTCAAGCACCCATCTGCATCCGCCTCTTCTGGCCAGGGTCTTGCTTCCTTGCGGCTCCTCCTGAACGCGTTCGGGGCGTTCGACCTGCCCCTGGTTCCCTGGGCCCTGGGGTGCTTCGAGGGGTCCTGGAAGTTCCCAGGCGTGAAGAAATACTCCTGCTGGGCGCCGAGACCTCGGAGATCGGGGACTCGGCCGTGGCCCTCGGTCACCGTGTCTCACAGGCCCTCGAGCTGTTTTTCAGCGGCTCACAATTTCGGCAACCGTTTCTAGGCAGACTGGAACGGTTCAGACGGTGCTCCGAATCTATCCCCGCGTGCCTTCTGCATGGGTCCGAGGGCCTCGCCTGGAACCAAACCGCGTTCGAGGGGGTTCGCCAGCTCGAAGAAGGTATGCTTCGGGGGCTCGCGCGCATTCGTAAGCTCGAACACGAAGATAGTCAACAATACTTCAGGAGAGCGACCCGACTAGCTGGGGCCATGTGCAGGAACGCTGGCCACAAGTCTATCGAGATGCGCCGTTTAGACTGTGCATGAACGTACCCGGCTTCTTCTCAACCAACTCGTGGCACGAGGCGTGGATCTCCCCCGCCGTGAACTGCTTCGCAGAGGCCCCGTTGAGGCGCGTGTCAGCGAGCCACCAAGCGCTCGAGGCGCATCTTCCCGGGCCTAAGCGGGTTCGACACGGAGCTGATAGGTGGAAACGCCGGGTGGGATGGACGAGGAGAACGACATGGGAGGATTTGTACTGTGATATGTGGGGAGACGGTTGGAGAGATCGGGTCGGCAAGGATTGGAATTCGCATCGTAATGAATTTATTGCTTGGGCCCTCGGACATCGCGTGGGTGTTCAGGACCTGCGTGCCATCCGTGCCGAGCGCCGCGCACAGCCGCTGCGTTCCGACCGAGCTCATCAGAATCGTAAACGAAAGCGGGTTACCTTCGAATGACAAAAGAAATGGGGACCAGCTCCGAGTATACTTTTATCCTGGACATCCAAGGGGACAACAAGACAGTGATTCAATGGGCTCGTGGTCTGTCACGTATCAACTCTCAGAGCCACCAGGGAAATATTCAGTCCATCCAGAAAACGTTGCATTCACTTGTGAAAGAACGGGGTATCGGAGCTGCTGATGAAGGTGATGATCTGGTTCGCCACGCCCTGAGGGAGCACAATACACTAGCGGACAAGTGTGCTGCGACAGGGGTCCTAGGCCAGACCTCTTTTTTCAGAAATCTCTGCTCTCAGACCTCGGTCCCGAAAAGAGGTACCGTGGCTTTGCGAGGCTCTTTCGACGGCGGAGTCCGCGAGGGAAAAATTGGTTTTGGCTTCGTGATTGAATTCTTCGACCCGCATTGTAATGCGTCCCGAGCTGTGCTCCTGGAAGGGGGAGCGGGCCTCGGCGACGCCACTGTCACGCAGGCTGAAGTGCAGGGCCTGCTGTCCCTGGCGAAGGCCAGTGAGCGCTTTGCAACCACTCACCGCTCCAGATGGCCATTCGTCCATTTTCATCCCTAGCGTTCGTCTTTTGCATCTTGCCGCTTGCTCTGTCCCGCTTCTCTTCTCTCATACAAAGAGGCTTAGTCCGATCGCTGCCAGCACGACCCGTGCGATAACGGCTGGAACTCGAACTCCTCCTTCTCCTCCTCCTGCCTCCTCTTCCTGCCTCCTCCTCCTCCCCCTCCTCCCCCTCCTCCTCCTCCTCTCCTTGCTCCTCCTATTGCCCTCTCCTCTCCTCTCCTTTCTCCTCTTCCGCCTCCCCCTCCGTGGTCTCGCCCTCCTCATCCTCCTCCCACCCTTTCCTTTCCCCTCGGCCCTCCTCCTCCATCCTTCCGCCATCCCCGCTCCCGCTCTTCCCGCTCCGACCCCAGCGCAGCAGCCAGCCAGGTGAAGGTGTCCATCGTAGAGATCTACAACGAGCGTGCCGCCCCCGCTTCCCGATTGTGGGAGGAGGAGGAGGAGGAGGAGGAGGAGGAGGAGGAGGAGGAGGAGGAGGAGGAGGAGGCGGAGGAGGGAGGAGGAGGGAGGAGGAGGGGAGGAGGAGGAGGAGGAGGAAGAGGAGGAGGAGTAGGTGGAGGAAGAGGGGATGAGGATGAGGAGGAGGAGGAGGAGGAGGAGGAGGAGGAGGAGGAGGAGGAGGAGGAGGAGGAGGAGGAGGAGGAGGCCGCCGCCGCCGCCGCCGCCGCCGCCGCCGCCGCCGGCGTGGCTGGTTCTGATGATGATGCTGCTGCTGATGATGAGGGTGATGATTCTGATGATGATGCTGCCGATGCTGATGATGATGCTCAGGATGATGCTGCTGCTGCTGATGATGATGCTGATGATGATGCTGCTGATGATGATGATGATGAGGATCAGGATGAGGTTGCGGACGATGAGGAGGCTGAAGATGCGGGTGACGGTGGCGATGGTGATGATGATGGTAATGATGACCATGCTTTTGCTGATGATGATGCTGATGATGCTGCTGCTGATGCTGCTACTGCTAATGCTGCTGACGATGATGATGCTGCGGATGATGCTGCTGCTGATGGTGATGATGTTGATGTTGATGCTGCTGCTGCTGAGGATGATGATGCTGATGCTGCTGCTGCTGCTGCTGATGATGACGATGATGATGATGATGATGATGCTGCTGCTGCTGCTGATGATGATGATGATGATGATGATGATGATGGTGGTGATGATGATGCTGCTGATGCTGATGATGATGCTGCGGGCGATACTAGCACGATTATGATGCTGATGCTGATGCTGATGACCATGCTCATGGCGATGGGGATGGTGATGATGACGATGCCGATGCCGAGGATGATGTGGATTCTTGTGCTGCTGATGATGATGATGGCGCTCATGATGATGATGATGATGATGATGATGATGACGATGATGATGATGATGATGATGATGATGATGTGATGATGATGATGCTGATGCTGATGCTGATGCTGATGCTGATGATGATGATGATGATGATGATGATGATGATGATGAGGTGGTGGTGGTGGTGTGGTGGTGGTGGTGGTGGTGGTGATGATGATGATGATGATGATGATGATGAGATGATGCTGATGCTGATGCTGATGCTGATGCTGATGCTGATGGTGATGCTGATGATGATGATGCTGATGATGACGATGGTGATGATGTTGATGGTGATGATGATGCTGATGCTGATGATGATGACGATGATGATGATGATGATGATGATGATGATGATGATGATGCTGATGATGATGCTGATGATGATGATGATGATGATGATGATGATGCTGTTCCCAATGATGCTGCTCACGATGCTGCTGCCGATGATGGTGCTACTGATGATGCTGCTGATGATGATGCTGATGATGCTGACGATGATGCTGCAGTTGAGGAGGATGATGAAGCTGATGCAGAAGATGACCAAGCTGCTGATGATGACGACGATGATGATGATGCTGATGCTGATGATGCTGCTGCTGATGATGACGATGCAGATGAGGATTACGGTGCCGATGATGACTATGGTAATACTGTCGACGACGATGATGACGATGGTGATGATGTTGATGGTGATGATGATGCTGATGATGATGATGATGATGATGATGGTGATGATGATGATGATGATGCTGCTGATGCTGATGATGCTGCGGACGATGCTATCACGATTATGATGCTGATGCTGATGCTGATGACCATGCTCATGGCGATGGGGATGGTGATGATGGCGACGCCGATGCTGAGGATGATGTGGGCTCTTGTGCTGCTGCTGATGATGATGATGATGATGATGACGATCAGGGTGATGCTGATGATGATGGTGATGATGATGGTGAGGGTGAGGGTGCTGATAAGAAACATGCTTATGACGGCGATGACGATGATGATGTCGCCGATGCCGTTCCTAATGATGCTGCTGATGATGCTGCTGCTGATGATGAGGATTATGCTGATACTGATGATGCTGCTGATGATGATGCTCATGATGCTGACGACGATGCTGCTGAGGATGATGCTGCTGCTGACGCTGAAGCTGATCATGATGCTGCTGATTCTGATGATGATGCTGATGATGATGGTGACGACGGCGACGATGCTGATGCTGATGCTGATGCTGCTGCTGATGATGATGATTTTGATTTTGATGCCGAGGATGACGATGATATTGACGTCGACGGTGACGATGATGATGACTATGCTGATGCTGCTGTTGATGATGATGCTGATGATGGTGGTGATGATGCTGATGATGCTGATGACGATGATGATGATGGCCATGCTGATGCGACTGATGATGATGATTATGATGATGCTGCTGATGCTGATGCTCATGATGCTGTTGGTGCTGTTGATGCGGATGCTGATGCTGATGCTAATGATGATGGTACTGATGAGGATGAGGATGCGGATGCGGGTGATGCTGATGATGATGATGCTGATGACGCTGATGATGATAATGACGATGCTGATGCTGATGATGATGGTGTTGGTAATGCTGATGCTGATGCATATGCTGGTGATGCTGACGATGATGCTGATGATGCTGATGATGACACGGCTGATGATGCTGATGATGATGATGCTGATGTTGATGCTGCTGTTCTGATGCTGATGCTGATGATGATGATGATGATGATGATGATGATGATGATGATGATGATGCTGATGGCGCTGCTGCTGCTGATGATGATGATGGTGATGATGATGATGATGCTGTTGACGAGGAGGAGGAGGAGGAGGCGGAGGAGGAGGGGGAAGGGGAGGAGGAGGCGGAGGAGGAGGAGGAGGAGGAGGAGGAGGAGGAGGAGGATGAGGATTGGGAGGAGCAGGAGGCGGTGCCCTCGCGTTGCCTCGCATGGGGCCCGTCGGGCGTGCCAGGTATTCGGGACCTGCTGGAACCGAGTAAGGACAACCTGAAGATCCACGAGGACAAGGCGCGGGGTGGGGGGGTTGGAGAGGATTGCCCGACCGTTCCCCTTCCCCCCTCGCCCTTCAAGGGTGTTCACATTTCGGGCGTCGGGAAAAGGAGAAGAGGCCGCCCGAGACAGTCTTGGGGGCCCATGGTGCTAAACAATTGTTGGAATGTCGCCGGCTCCCATGAGCGACTTACTGACCACTTCCGCCGAGAGGGCGGTGCAGCTCGCAGGTTGGAGCAGGCGGTCAGGGCATGGAAGGCATGGGCATCCGCTTCCGTGCACAGTCTTCACTCATTGCTCACGCGCTGTGGCTGGCGCAAGGCTTCTGGACTGGACTGGACTGGTTGCGTCGCAGTCGGTTGCGCTCCGTCAGTTTGGCTCTCTGGCCGTCTGAATAGGACTAGGGAGGAGAAGGAGGAGGAGGAGGAGGAGGAGGAGGAGGAGGAGGAGGAGGAGGAGGAAGGGAGAAGGAGGAGGAGGAGGAGGAGGAGGAGGAGGAGGAGGAGGAGGCTCGCGTCTTGGCCGTGCCGCTGCGCCCTTCGAGCCTGCTGTCGGTCTGTCGACGTCGGCCAGTTTCGGCTCCGATTTCGGTTCTGTCGGTTTTCGGTGCTGCTGTCGCCGTGCATTGCCTCACCCTGTTCCTCGTTCGGCTGCGCCAAAGCGGTAAGGGCGAGCGGAGGAGGAGGAGGATGAGACGGAGGAGGAGGAGGATGAGGATGAGGATGAGGATGAGGATGAGGATGAGGATGATGATGATGATGATGATGATGATGATGATGATGATGATGATTGACGATTGTTGATGATGATGATGATGATGATGATGAGGATGAGGATGAGGATGAGGATGAGGATGTGGATGAGGATGCTGATGCTGATGCTGATGCTGATGATGCTGATGATGCTGATGATGATGACGATGCTGATGCTGATGCGGATGATATGAGGATGACGATGTTGGTGATGCTGATGCTGTTGATGATGCAGATGATGAGGATGAGGACGATGAAGGTGATGCTGCTGATGCTGATGCTGCTGATGATGCTGAAGATGATGCTGCTGCTGATGGTGCTGTTGATGCTGGTGATGATGATGATGATGATGATGATGATGATGATGATTGACGATTGTTGATGATGATGATGATGCTGATGATGATGATGCTGCTGATGATGATGATGAGGATGACGATGATGACGATGATGTTGGTGATGACGGCGAGGATGATGAAGCTATTAATGATGAGGTTGATCATACGCATGATGCTGATGATGATGCTGAATCTGCTGTTGCTGCTGATGATGGTGCTGATGTTGATGCTGATGCTGATGCTGATGCTGCTGATTATGTTGATGATGATGACGGTGATGCTGATGCTGCTGATGCTGCTGATTATGCTGATGGTGATGACGATGCTGCTGCTGATGATGATGACGCTGATGACGGTGATGATGATGATGATGATGATGATGATTATGATGCTGATGATCATGATGATGATGATGATGCTGACGATGATGATGCTGATGATGCTGCTGATGATGATGATGCTGATGGGGTGATGCTGATGATGCTGCTGATGATGCTGCTGATGATGCTGCTAATCATGATGATGCTGATGATGCTGATGATGATGATGCTGATGATGATGATGATGATGGTGATGTTGATGGTGATGGTGATGGTGATGATGATGATGATGATGATGATGATGATGATGATGATGATGATGATGATGATGATGATGATGATGATGGTGAGGAGGAGGAGGAGCAGGATGAGGATGAGGATGAGGATGAGGAGGATGAGGGTGATGGTGAGGAGGAGGAGGAGAATGCGGAGGAGATGGAGCTAGAAGAGGAGGGGGGGTAGGAGGAGGAGGAGGAGGAGGAGGAGGAGGAGGAGGTGGTGGTGGTCGTGGAGTAGTAGTAGGTGGTGGTGGAGATGGATCAGAGTAAACCCAGGATGCGGCAACGATGCCGCAAACCAACCTCCAGCCCCAGGTCCCCTCTCCACAAGGCCAGACCACCCTTCCTTTCTGCAAGAAACGCACCATTCGAACGACGAGCAACGCACGGGCCTGCCATTCAGACGAGAGCCGCGGTTCGGAAGCAAGCAGCCTGCATGCGCACACATGCTGGGCAAGTCTATTTGCCTGGCCATGAGGGCCTCACACAACCTCCCCATCTTGAAAACAGAACGGCCTCCCACTATCGTGGCAGTGACATGCTTTAGGCTTCTTGATCGTTCGGCTCGATGCTTCTCAAGGAAATAGCCCCAGGTCGAAGCGGATCCGCCCTCCACACTTGTACCCGTCGGAAGCTTTAAGCCGAGTGTCCGCGGCGCTACGGCGAGAAAGGCTTGATCCGTGTGGCTGGTAATTTTGTTAACTCGGATCGAATATTTGTCTCAGGGAAGTCTCAGGTTGAACTCCCAGCTTGGCCTAGGGACATACCCTGGCGGTGCGTTAGGGTGAGGGATGGAGGAGGAGGAGGAGGAGGAGGAGAGATAAACAAAATAAAGGAGGAGGAGGAGGAGGAGGAGGAGGAGGAGGAGGAGGAGGGAGGAGGAGGAGGAGGAGGAGGAGGAGGAGGAGGAGGAGGAGGAGGAGGAGGACGACAAGAACGACCTCGGCCAGCGCCTGCCCGCAGGCGCACGGCGTCTTCGTCGGCGAGGTCACAGAGACGCACGTGGGGCGCGCCGGACATGTATAGGGGCGGGGGGAGGGAGTGAGGAGGAGGAGGAGGAGGAGGAGGAGGAGGAGGAGGAGGAGGAGGAAGTATACGACGACGAATAGTACTAGTAAATCTAATGCGATGATGATGCTGCTGCTGATGCTGCTGCTGATGATGATGCTGATGATGCTGCTGATGATGCTGATGATGATGCTGATGATGATGATGCTGCTGTTCTGATGATGATGATGATGATGATGATGATGATGATGATGATGATGATGATGATGATGATGATGATGATGATCACGATTATGAGGCGGATAATGAGGGTAGGAACGACCAGTGCGAGGAGGAATATGAAGATAATGACAAGGAGGATGATGAGGAGGAAGAGGAGGAGGAGGAGGAGGGCGAGGAGGGCCAGGGGGATGAGCGGGTGAAGGGCCTCTACCCACCTCTTCCGCTTCCTCCTCTGTCAATCCTTCAGCCCCCGCCCCTATCGCCCTCTTCCTCTCTTTCGCGAAAGGCTCCAAGCGACGACCATGAGTAACCCGCGAACTGTACTCGTCCTCCTTTGTCATTTTCCCCTCAGCCTCCTCCCCCACCCCCTTCCCCCATCTTTCGATTCGCCCGCACTCTTCCCCCTCCTCCCTCCTCCATCCTCTTCTGCTATCCTCCATCCTCCATCCTTTTTCCCCTTCCCTCATCCCCTCCATCCCTCCATCCTCCTCCAGCGTCGTGGACGTCGTGGTGAATGTGACGGGCACTCTCATCCTCGTGGTGGAGGAGGCGGCGGTATGTGTAGCCAGCCTGGTCAGCGTCTTTGCTGCTGCTGGACGGCGGCAACAACACGTCCCTCGCCTCCGAGGCGGCCCTGGGCAGCAGAGAGCTTCGGGCGTCGTGGGCCCTGCCGGCGTCGGCGCGCGTGAGCTCCATGAATCGGCGGCGCGCCCTGGGGGGGAGTGAGGAGGGGCGGTCCTTCTCATTGGCCCGCTGTATCTCGAAGGCGTGTCAGTGACCAGGGTGCTGCTGGGATGGAGCGCCCCAGCGAGAATGGTGCAGCACCCTATACAGCAGAGCAGCCGCCTGCTGTATAAGAGTGCCCCGTCGTTGGGCCCCCTGCACGAAAGGCCCCACGCGTAGACAAGGAAATAGCCCAAGGCAACAGCCCCGGCCTTCGGAGAAGTCTTTCGGAGACTTCCCCGAGGACGCAACAGCTTCTCAGAGGGCTGGAGGCCTCCTGAGAGTCCCAGCCGCTTTCGCTGGCGTCGGCACGGCCTTCCAAGGCTCTTGCATCCTGATTGTGCGTCTTTATTCGGCGGTTAGGCTGTAGGAGATCGACGACATGATTGATTTACCCCAGAATTGATTAACTCGTCGACTCTCCGAAGCGTGCGTCGAATGTTCGGAGATCTACGAACATTGTAGTGCTTTTTTCCTTCCGTAGATTTGACGATCACACAACAAGTCTGGTGTACATCGAGCCTGTAGTCGATCCCCTCCTCGATTTACGTGGGCGCGGGCAGTCTGGGACCAGCACGTGCAGGGCCGCGTGTTGGAGGTCACCCTGGCGGCCGCCGTCGCCGTTGGGCGTGGCCCCGCTGGCGGCGCGCGGGCCGGGCCGGGCGTCCGAGGGGCCCGTCGCCCTGCGCGCCGACGATGGCACTGCGCTCGAGCCGCGTCCACCCGAGCCTGGGCAGGCGAGGGGGGATGCCGGGCGTGAGGGCGTCCGGCAAGATGGCGCTCAGGGGGTCACAGGCAAGAGCCAGTGCGCTGGTGAGGAGGAAGGCACCAGGGACAGATGCCCACGACGGCTTCGAGGATCGCTGCCAGAACATCGCCCTTGGTGGGTGCCAGGGCTGTCGCGCCTCCTTGACACCGGGGGGGGGGGGTGGTCTCCAGTCTGGATGGGAGGCCAGCGGGGTGGGCATGGTGCGGAGCCTGGAGCCCAGGCCCCGTTGGCCCATTTGCAGGCGCGCCGCTGCGCGGGCGCCCCAGGCGCAAGGCGGACCTTGTGGGGCAGGCGGGGGTGGCTGGGCGCCCTCCGCACCCCGGCCGCCCCTTCGCGCACCAGCTCCAGGCGGGGCTCCTTGCGCATGGCCTGGTGGACCCGTCGGCCCGCAGGCTGCGCCGTGGTGGCCTGGGCAGCCTCTTCCGCTGCCGCTGCGAGCGCCCCCCGCCCATGCCTGGCTCCGCAATGGCCAGGCGCCGCCCCGCCTTGGAGAGCGAGCTGCGCGGGTCAGGAGGGGGAGCGTGGAGGCTGGCGAGCTCTTCTGCCGCAGGCTGTGACCCGACCCTCGCTACCTGTTCCAGCGGATGGGCATTGAAGGCGGCATCTTGTGGACCAGCCGGCCTGGTCCAGGGAGGCCGTCGGATTGCCTCTTCCTCGACGGCAGCTCCTTCTGCAGCCGCCTCCCTGTCCTGGAGCACGCAAGCTGGGCCGTGGTCCCAGTCGACTGGTTCGGCAAGCTGGAGGTGGCGGCCTTCGGGCGCGTGCCCACTTCGGCGGCGCCGAGCCTGGAGGCGCCCAGCGCCGAGGACTACGCGGGCTACGTGTTCACGTTGGCCGAGGTGGCCCCCGGGCGAGCTCTACCAGGACTGCGCCATCGCCGTGCGAGTGCCGTGGGGGCGCTGGCGTTGGGGCGCGCGGCGCCGGCATCAGGCCCCGCCTGTGGGTTCCCTTCTTGGTGGCCTCGAAAGCGACTTGGTGGCCCACGGGGCGCTCGGGCGCGGGGCCAGCGCGGGCGTGGGCGCTGGCTGCAGCGCCCACTGGGCGGGGCGAGTGAATGGCCACGCCGACGAGCCGACCAAGCGGGGCGCGGCCCAACACGGCCTCGGGGAGCCGGAGGAGGCCCACTCGCGAGGCCTGCGCCCGCTCTCGGAGGCTCGTGCCCTGCTGCAGCGCCTCCCCTCGAGGCCTCGCTCGGAGGCGGGCCGCGGCAGGGCCGTGGCGGTGTCTGGACAGGCTGGGCCTGGCGGTGGCTTCTTTGGAGAAGGCGAGGCGACACGAGCCGCTCAGGACTCTGTGCTGAGGGCAGCGGCCGCCCCTGGGCAGAGCCCGGCGATCCCGCCCCTCGGGCAGTCAGCGGGAGGAGGAGGAGGCGGAGGAGGACGAGGAGGAGGAGGATGAGTAGGAGGAGGAGGAGGAGGAGGAGGAGGAGGAGGAGGAGGAGGAGGAGGAGGAGGAGGAGGAGGCAGGAAGGAGGAGGAGGAGGAGGAGGAGGAGGAGGAGGAGGAGGAGGAGGGCGCGATGAACTGGCCTCTGGCAGTCAGCGGGGCAGCTCCTGGAGAGAGCCCCCCGCCCGAGCTCGGTGCTTGGGCTTGGGCCGGAGGCGGAGCCGGAGATGTCCAGGGCCACGGAGTGGGCGCTGACGAGCAAGGTTGGCCCTTCCTCGACGCCCTGTCGTTTGACCTGGACGAGGCGGTACTGGCGCGCAGGGCCGCGCTCCCTGGCGCTGCGGGGTCGTGCAAGTCATGAAGCATCCTGGCCTTACTAGCGCAACAAACTCGTGGCCTAACTTGGGCCATCGGTTTTGAGGGCTATCCCTAAACATGTGGGCGGTTTCGTCTGAGGCATTTGGGAAAAAGCCTCCTATCCCCAATGCTTTTGGCCCCCCCCCCCCCCCCCCCCCCAATTTAGACTGTCTCCCAGAATGGTATGGGGTATTTTTGGCCCTTGTCGGCAGGGGCCACAGGTCCGCCTAGTCCTCTGCCAAGCCTGTGGCGTGGTCTTGGTTGGGCGACGCCCAGGCAGGCTGCTGCAGGCGCCCTGCCTGGCGATCGTTTTATAATTCATTGTTTTGCCGATCGGCGCGGGGCCTCGCCGCCGACGGCGGCGAAAGGTTCTTCGACAAGCTCCCAAGGCGCTCTCGGACGACGAGGGCTTCGCCAGGATCGAGGGTGATCGTTTTCTTATTCACTGTTTTGCCGATCGGCGCGGGCCCTCGCACCCCCCTCCCCGCCCCCATGGAGTAAATCTTGGCTGTTTCTGGCGCCTGTTTCAAGGAGGTGCTGTCTGCCCCATAGGACGCATTGTTGCAAACAGTCGCGTCAAGCAGAGGTCCGGAGCCAGACCCGCCCCTCCCCTTTTTCTGCCCATTATCGGAACGCCGAAAGAAAACAACACCTGGGACGGCGTGCCGGGGCTGGCGCTGAGCAGCTGAGGTTTCGTCGCCGGCTCTCATTATTCACCAGCAAACCATCCCAACCCACTCCGAGGGCCCCGAGTCTTCACAACCCTTCGGATTTTGGGGCGTTTTTTTGTTTTTATGTTTTTTGTTTGTCTGTTTGTTTTTTGTTCCATTATTTTTTGTGAGTTCGTTGTAATATTTTTGTTGTTGTCGCTGTCTTTTGTGATAGATGTAAAACACACAGATGCATACACATTCTTTGTATACGTGAATTCATAAAGCGTTGTGTATTTTGTCATCAAACATATTCTCGTCACAAAGCAAAGCGTTCCCCTAAATGCTCCCCCCGATGGGAATCGCCAGGCCCGACGGCAACTTCGGGTGGGGCTGCCGGGCGCCCCCGGCCTCCCGCGTCGCCGCCGGCGTGGGCGCGCAGCTGCCTGCGGCCGCAGGCTCTCCTGCAGGGCGGTCGCGCGGCGGCGGCCGACGGCGCGCTGGAGGGCGGCGGGCCTGGCGCCCGAGGGGGCGCCGACCGCGGGGCGGGCGGTGCGGCGCCGCCTGCTGCGCTGCCGCGGCCGCAGGTGGGGGCACTGAAGCAGTGCCTCCTCCTCCTCCTCCTCCTCCTCCTCCTCCTCTTCTTCCGCCTCCTCCTCTTCCTCCTCTTCCTCGTCCTCCTCCTCCCTCTCGTCCTCCTCCTCTTCTTCTGCCTCCTCCTCCAGCTCCTCCTCCTCCTCCTCCTCCTCCTCCTCCTCTCAGCGGGCCGCTGCCGGCGCCATCGCGGACTTGGGCGCGGAGGGCGGGGCCGTGGGTGGGAGCCGCCCGCGGGGCGGCCGCGCGGCGGCCTCCCCTTCTCGGATCCCCTTTCTCTCCCCCTTCCTCTCCTCCTTCCTCTCCCCCTTCCTCTCCCCCCTTCCTCTCCCCCTTCCTCTCCCCCTTCCGCTCCCTTCTCTCCCTTCTCCCCCTTCCTCTTCTCGGATCCCCTGTGCGCTGCCCCGCCGCCCCCGCCGCCGCCCAGCGGCCGCCGAAGCGCAGGCGCGAGCAGGAGATCATCGAGCTCATGCGCACCGGCGGGCGGGGGGGTTGGCGCGCGGGTCCTCCCCCCAGCGCGCAGGAGGCGGCATCGGCACGAACGCCTCGCGCCGTCTCCGGCTGTCTCGGGGCTCGCCTGGGCCCCGGGGTCGTCAGTAAAGCGGCCTCGGGTGGAAACGCTGGCCCTGGGGAGAGGGTGGCCACGCGCAGAGGGGGGAAGGGGTAGGGGAGGAAGGCTTTTTAGAAACACCCCTGCTTTTTGGAAGGCGCGGGCCTTGTCTGTAGATGTAGGGCCCGCGCCTTCCAAGAAGCCGCCTCCTTCTAAGAAGCCTCCCCCCCTCCCCCCAATTACCGCCTTTGTGCGCGCCGCCAGAGAGATGGCCTGGACTTCCCGGGGCCCCGTGCCGAAGAAGCCAAGGCACCTGGCGCGGCCCCAGAGGTCCGGGCCACCTCTCCATGGGTAGTTTTCCGTCCAGGATCTGTCTTTGCTGGTCCCGGGGCCCGATGCTAGGATCGTGTACCCGACCCCTACCCCCATCCAGACCCCCACCATTTCACCACCCCAGTTGGGGATGTACCCCTCGAAACCGGAAGGAAACGGTGTGCATCCCCATCTAGTGTGGATAAATCGGCCAGCGGGGCCCATGCCATGCCCATGGGGATGGGGACCGGTTAAGCGATGCTCACAACAGCAGGCCACCGGGGGCGAACTCGAGGGGAAGCATCAGGATTGAAAAAACAGATCGTCGGAGATTTGGGCAGATCTCCTCGTCGTCGTCGTCGTCTTCCTGCCCCCCTCCTGCAATGCACAGCGTTGCTGCAGACGCGCCAGCTTGGCACGAACTGGAGAGCGCATTCCGCACCCGGGCGCCGCGGCGCTATCCGCCCAGCCCCCTGGAGGCCGAACTTGATTTGCGATTTTCCACCACCGCTGTCATAGGTCCCATCCTTCCGTCTCTCCTGCTCTAACTATGGTAGTGGTGGTGGATCATCTGCCCATCAGAACTCGAGTAGGGGATTGACTACGGAATTGATGTACCCTTAAACTGATTTGTATGAGACATGCGTAGAAGGCTCGTATATCTGCGAACATCCTATGTATGCGTCGACGAGAAAATCCATCCTGGGGTGAACCAGTTATGTCGTCGACCTCCTACTCGAAGAACTCTGCCCGCAGTGGCGCCCGCCCGCCCGCCCCCCCCTCCTGCAGGGCGGCTGGGCCTCCCGCGCAGGCTGCTGGCGCTTGCCAGCGCCTCCCCTGGCGCTCGGCGCGGGGCCCCCCCAGGGGCGCGCCCGCCGCCCGGCTCCCGCCCTCCCGCTCCTCCTCCTCCTCCTCCGCCGCCTCCTCCTCCGCCTCCTCCTCCTCCGCCGCCTCCTCCTCCTCCTCCTCCTCCTGCTCCTCCTCCTCCTCCTCCTCCTCCTCCTCCGCAGGAGGAGACCAGCTGGACGGCCTCTCTCTCTGAGGGGCCACGGCCCCGCTGCCGGCCCTTCCTGGGGGCGCCAGGGCCGGCTGCGACGGTCGGCCGTGTGGCACTGGCGGCTCCTCCGCGGGAGTGCCCGCGGGCGCGTGGGGGACGGGTCCCGCCGATGGCTGCGCTCTGCAGGGGGTTTGCTTTGGCCGCTGTACACCTTAGGCGATGCTTAAGAAAACTTAAGTTTTCGGCCAGAGTCTCGATTATTCTTAATGTTTCAATGTAAATCCTAAGATTGTGACAGAAATGTTGGGTTTTTTATTCAAGTTCTGAGACTCTGAGTTTCTTAACCCATGATTTCTTAAGCATTTCGCAGGGTGTAGCCCTCGCCGGTCAGCATCCCCCGCGTTCGTGGCGGCGCGTGCCGCTTGTCCTCGCCGAGGGCCACCGCGCCGGCGGTCAGGGAGGGAGGGGAGGGAGTCCTGGGGCCTTCGAGGGCCGTCGGAGAGACCCACAGACGGCGCAAGATGGCCACAGGCTGACCTGAAAGGCCCCCAAAGGTGTCCCCACTGGGCCTCAGGAGGACAGCCTACAGGGGGCCTCCAGAGGCAGAAAGATGTTCCTCAGTCCGTCATTGTCGTGCTCCCCCTTCCCTCCTGTTGTCGTTCTTTGTAGCCTCCCAGCCGGCTTATGAGATCGATCGCATCGTGTCCACGTGGGGCCATATTTACCTGATCATTTGCCACGGACCCCTACTTCAGCCTCGCAGTTGCCACCCGAAAATCAGGCATTCGTAGGCGGGAGCCGTCTCGAATTATTTACAACGGGATGGGCTTCATGCCAAGTGTAACAGTTTTCGCAGTCGACTGGAACTGGAACGCGCGCCAGTAGCGCGCGAGGTTTCACTAAACATCTATGTGTCTACGCTTGTATACATACATTTTCATCTGTGTGCAAACAGACCGCACACTCGATCCGACGTCAATCGCACACCGAAAGCGGAACCCGTCCCTCCCCTAAACATCCTTACCGCCCGAAGGGCTGTCCCATATGTAGCTAGTGATCCGTTCCAGGATGTGCGAGGCTCTCCTATCTTCCCGTGTGGCCGGAGACGAGTGGCCGAGCACGAATGGCCGAGGGCCGCCAAAAACGTATCCTGAGCCGATCGCATCATCACATTACCCGTCGGTCGTTGAAATAGGTTTTCTTGGATGCCCAAGTCTCCATTCCCTCAAGAGTCGCGCGGCGTTCCCAAGAGTCGCGCGGCATTCCCTCCGCCCTCGTCCTCAGGGGGCGGTCGGAGGCCCAATCTACTTTCAACGCCTTCTCGTTCATGCTTCTTCCCACTTCTGCCGACCGACGTTCGGTGGCGAGCGATGGGGGGGAAGTTAGAAGGAGAAGGCCCTCTCAGAAGGTTCGGACCCCCCCCGCCTTCTGAGAAGTTTTCTTAGCCTTCCCCGAATACAAAAAAAACCTCTCAGAAGGCGCAAGGGCTTCCGGGAAGTCCCGCCGCCTTCTGAGAAGGTCTTCTCCTTCTCGCTTCCCCCCCCGCTCGCCGCCGAGAGTCCCTAGACCTCACCTCGGGTGCGTTCTGACCACGATTCCTAACCGAATCCAGCCGTGGCGAGGAGGGCCTCCCAGGAGGCCCCAGAGAGGCCCCGGAGAGGCCCGATCTCTGTACTCTCAGCGCCTTCCCTCTTCCGTGCTCCTGCCCACTTCTGCCGACCGACGTGTGCCCTCTTGTCCGAACCCTGGGCTCCGGGCCGGGGCCTGGACAGGCCTCCTTGGACTCGACGTCGGCACAATGATTACCGAAACGACGGGCCAGGAGGAGGAGAAGGAGGAGGAAGAGGAGGAGGAGGAGGAGGAGGAAAAGGGGGAGGAGGAGAAGCGAGGGAGGTCCAGCCCTCCGCGTGACTGCGTCGGCTGGGAGGGGTGTGTGTCTGTGTGTGTGTGTGTGTCTGTGTGTGTGTGTGTCTGTGTGTGTGCACCGGCCCGGGCGGGCCCAGGGCGGCCCCCGCCCAGGTGGCCTCCCGTTGGCGCGGGCCGCTCCGGTTCGACCCCTCCGATTCGATTTGATCTCGATGGCGGTCGATTCCGAGTCGATTCGACTCCGGATTGCGATTTGCATCCCGATTTTTCAGTGGAGGCCTGGGGCCTGCTCTATTTTTTTCAGTGGAGGCCTGCCCTTTTTATGTATATATATATATATACAAAATGTATGTATGTAAGGTAAGGTAAGGTAAGGTAAGGTAAGATAAGGTAAGGTAATGTAATGTAATGTAATGTAATGTAACACAATGTAATGTAATGTATTGTAATGTAATGTAATGTAGTGTAATGTAATGTAATGTAATGTAGTGTAATGTTTTATATTGTAATGTAATGTATTATGATGTGATGTAGGGTAATGCGATGTAATCTAATGTATTGTGTTGTATTGTATTGTAATGTAATGTAATGTAATGTAATGTAATGTAATGTAATGTAATGTAATGTAATGTAATGTAATGTAATGTAATGTAATGTAATGTAATATAATGTATTTTAATGTAATGCCATGTAATGTAATGTAATGTAATGCAATGTAATGTAATATAATGCAATGTAATGTAATGTCTGCCTGCCTGTCTGTCTGTCTGTATGTCTGTCTGTCTGTGTGTCTGTCTGTCTGTATGTATGTATGCATGTATGTACACGTATCTATAAATCTATATATCTATATATCTCCATCTATATATACATATATATATATATATGTTTGCCAGCCCGCCGATTTTCTTCCATGGAGGCCTGCCCCTTTTGTGTCGCGTGCCGCTCCACCCCCCCTCCGCAGCTGTTTTTTTTGGCTCAGGGCCCCGGGCTGAGGCTCGGGCGGTTTTTAGTTCGCGGCCTTCGGGCGCATCTAGTCGGAAGGCTGCTAAACGTCGGACGGGGCCAGGGCGAGGAGAAATCCCTGGAGGACAGGGTGCCGATACTGCTGCCGTTCCTCCTCTTCGCTTGCTGGGGCCTCGTGGAAGGCTCTCGTCGTCACCGCTGGATTCGCCTCGAAGTCCTAGTCAGAACGCGCTCCAGGAACGGTCAGGGGAGTAGCCGTAAGAGTGCCTCGGATAGAGGAGGCCACGGACACTTTCCCTAGCAGCGTTTTTCGGACGGGGCTAGGACGAGGATGAATCCGTACCAGAGCGTTACCGAACGCTCTCCGAGCCGTCCAGAACGCTCTGAGAAGGCCGCGGCGACCGAGACAAGAGACATCCTCCAGATCGGGCGGATCTCAGAGATTCTCTCGACTTATCCGTGCCCGATGTTATTTTCGTCCTGGCTTCGCCTTGAAAAGCGGGGCGCGGGCCGAACGAGCTCTCGGAGGGCTCCGCGTGGGTTTCCTGGGGCCCGCGCCGGGCGCTCCTCGCCACAGCCCTCCTGGCGGCCCCCGCGCGCCAGAGCAAGGGGGGGGCGCGGGCCCGCGAGAGATTGGTGGCCCTCGGCTCGGAGGGGGGATATGGGACACCAGCGCGACCAGGGGGGCCACCTCCAGCGAGGAGGTCCACGAGGCCTCCCCGATCTGGGGAACGGGGTTGCCTCGAGCGAGAAGGGGGGGACCACACCACCGGGGAGACCCCCCTTGCTCCTCGCATCTCCTCGCTCTGGTGGTGTTGGTGTCGCCTTGCTCCTGTTGGCGCTCTGCCTTCTGTTGCCGCCTTCCGCCGCATCGGGGGCAGCATGGCGGACGGTATGCCGCTCGGGACCATCATGATCTACTTCTGCTCCTACATCTGTGTGCACGCCGCGTGCCAGGTCTGATGGGCCTGTTTTCCACCACCACCACCATAAGTTGGAGGGGGGAAGGAGGTGGAGGATGAGGAGGAGGAGGAAGAAGAAGAAGAGGAGGAGGACCCCCTCCCCCTCCTACTTATGGTGGTGGTGGTGGAAAACAAGCCCACCAAGGTCATCACCTGCTCGCTGCCGATGTTTGCCAGCGACCCCTCCTTCGAGGGCTGGACCACGGCGGACTCGGGCGCCCTGCTCGGGTACGCCTCCCTGGCCGCGGGCCTCGGCTTCGGCATCTGGGGGCCCTTCGTGGACTACGTCGGGCCCCGCTACGGGCCCGCCGCGGGCCTCGGGTGCTCGCTGTTCGGCAACTTCATCGGGGTGCTCCTGCTGTCCCAGGCCGAGAGCAAGGCGATGCTGACCATGGGCGCGCTGTTCATCCGCCTGAGCTACTCCGCGGGCTTCCCCTCCGAGATCAAGGCGATCCAGCTGACGGTCCCGGAGCAGTACCAGGGCACGGCCCTGTCGATGCTGGGCTTCGGCTCCCGCTGCGGCGCCATCGTCGGCCGGGCGGTGTTCGGGATGCTGCTGCAGTACTACACGTGGCGCACGCTGGCCAAGTGCATCTCCGGCGCGCTCTTCTTCGCGGCCATCGCGACGATCGTCCTCGTCAATGGGAAGTTGGCCGAGGCCGCAAAGACCAGGAAGCAGGTCGACACGAACGCCCCGAAGAAGAGCCTGGCGCAAAAGCTGGGGAAGCTGGGCAAGGAGCCAGCCGTGTGGATGCTCGCCACGGGGTTCTCGCTCCTGTGCTTCATCATGCACGGGGACGACCTGATGCCGCTGTTGTTCTACGGGCTGACCGGGAACCCCCTGAGCGTGACGTACTCTGCGATCTTCCCGCTCGGCGGCATCTGCGCGATGATCGCGAACGCCACCCAGTCACACAAGATCAAATCCAAGGAGACGAAGGAGTGGTTCTACGTTTACCTCAGCAGCATCGCCATCGCCGCCTTCGCGGCGCTCTACTTCGTCACCTGCGCAGCCGGTGCGGGCAACGTGGCAATGCCCGTCGTCATGGCCTTGATCTGGATTGCGGGCTTCACAGCAGCCCCTCCATATTACCAGCTGGCGAACATCTTCGCAATGGAGTACGGGGGCGATGACAGCGCCACGCTTGTCAGCATCTACGAACTGGTGGCTTTCTTCACCAAGTCTCCAGTTCATTCTCAGATCCTGACGATCGCTGATTCTGGCTGGGAGAATGTCGTGCTGAGCCTCTTCGCGATCGCAGTGTGTGCTTTCGTGACCATGTTCTTCTTCGTGCGTCGCTGGCACAAGGTGCTGCGCAAGAAGGACGACTACGTCAAGGACTACGCCCCGCTCAGCAACAACAAGCAGCCGCTGGCCCGCGGGGTGACGCCGTAGAGTGCAGATGGGGACCCTGCACAACTACACGATTTTGACCGACGGGCCAATCATTGTGACAATGGGAGCTCGATGTCTGGCTCTTGGTCGTAAGCACTTCAGCTCTCGATTCTATTTCGCCCCGAATTTTCCACTGCTTCTGCGCCCTCCACGCGCAGGTTACTTCTTGTATCTTATGGCTTCAGGAGAAGGACGACAATAATGATGATGGTCATGGTAATGAGGAGGATGAGGAGGAAGAGGAAGCGCAGGAGGAGATGGAGAAAGAGAAGGAGGAGGAGGAGGAGGAGGAGGAGAAGAAACGGGTGGGCGGAGAACGAATGAGATGAAGGAGCGGGTGGTGGGCGGAGTAAGGAAGGATGGAGGACGGAGGTGGGAGTTTTTTCTCCTCTCCTCTCCAGCCCCTCCTGGTGCGTGGTGACTGCTCTTGTTGATGATGGCGGCGATGACGATGCTGGTGATGCTGGTGGTGATGATGATGACGATGATGGTGTTGATGATGACGATACTAATGACGATGCTGATGATAATGATGCTGATGAAACTGATGCTGAAGGCAGCGATGATGATGGTGGTGATGCTGATAATGATGATGATGATGATGCTGATGATGATGATGATGCTGCTGCTGATGATGATGCGGATGACGCTGGCGATAAGCATGAGAGTCTTGATTATGCTGCATCTGATGATGATGCTGCTGATGATGATGCCGATGCTGTTGGCTATGCCGATGATGATGATGATGATGATGATGATGATGATGATGGTGCTGCTGCTGATGATGATGATGCTGGTGGTGATGGTGATGATGGTGATGCTGATGCTGGTGATGATGCTGATGATGATGATCGCTGCTGCTGCTGCTGCTGATGATCATGCCACTGATCATGATAATGAAGCTGATTAGGATGATGGTGATGATGAGGCTGATGATGAGGATAATGCTAACGATGAGGTCGAATATGCGGATGAGGATGAGGATGCTGATGACGCTGATGATTACGGTGCTGATGACGATGCTGATGATGATATTGCTGCTGATGATGATGCTGACGGTGATGATGCTGATGATGATGATGCTGATGGTTGTTGTGGTGGTGGTGGTGCATGGTGATGGTGGCGGCCATGATGCTGTCGATTGTGTTGCTGGAATGTCTGATGTTGATGCTGAGGGTGAGGATTATGCTGCTGATGACGATGATGAGGACGATGACGATGGCGTTGTTGACAATGGTATGGATGATTGTACTGATGGCAACGACAATGCTGCTGATGTCGATGATGATGACAACGATGATGATGATGCTGATTATGATGACGATGATGCTGGTGATGCTGGTGGTGATGATGAAGACGATGGTGACGATGGTGACTGCCGCTGTTACTGACGATGGTGATGATACTGCTGATGATGCTGACGGACGGGGATGATGACATGGTGGGTGTGTTGGCCGCGATACAGTCGATGCTACTGCTGACGGAGATGATGATGGTGGCGACGCTAAGGCTGATGCAGCTGCTGTTGCTGACGAAAAACGCTGCTGCTGATGCTGACGACGATGATGGTCATGTTGCTGATGATGATGCTGATGATGATGGTGATGATGATGACGATGATCATGATGATGATGATGATGATGATGATGGTGATGCTGATGATGATGCTGATGATGATGATGATGCTGATGATGATGATGATGATGATGATGATGCTGATACTGCTGATGATGCTGATAATACTGCTGATGATGCTGATGATGCTGATAATGATGATGATGCTGATGATGGTGATTGGTTATGGTGATGATCATGACGACGATGATGATGATGCTGATGATGATGATGATGATGGTGATGGTGATGATGATGATGATGATGATGATGATGATGATGATGATGCTGCTGATGATGATGATGATGCTGACGACGATGATGATGCTGATTCTGATGACGATGATGATGTTGCTGATGAAGTCGACGGCGGATGTGTTGTTTGTGACGGTGATGGCGGCGATTGTGGTAATGTTGATGATGATTGTGATGCTGATGCCGATGACCATTGCGATGTTGATGGCTGTCATGGTCATAATGTCGAGGAGGGATGAGGACGTGCAGCATGATGATACGAAGGATGTTGGCCAGCGTGGACCGCAAACAGTGATGTCTTGCAGTCTATGCGGTGCAATCTAGGTGGTGCAATCAATCTGATGCGATCCAGGTTATGTAATCCATGTGGTTCAATCCATGTGGTGCGAAGCAATGCAAAGCGCTGCAAAGCAATGAGAGGCGACGCAATGCGATGCAGTGCGATGAAGCGCGATGCAGCGCGATGCAACGCGATGGAACGCGATGCTGCGAGATGCAACGCGATGTAAAGCCATGCAGCGCAATGCACATCAATGCAACGCAGCGCAGAGCAATGCAACGCGAGGCAGAGCAACGCAAAGCAGTGAACGCAATGCAGCGCAACGCAAAGCAGTGCAGAGCAGTGCAGAGCAGTGCAAAGCAACGCGGCGCAAGCGGCTGCGATGGACGTCGGCGACGGGCGGCGATGGGCGGCCCCGAGCTGGCCAGACCGACACCAGGCGCGCGTGGCTGCGACGGACGGCGGCGACGGGCGGCAACGGGCGGCCACCAGCCAGCCGAACCTTACCAGCCTCGAACTTACCCCTATCCCTAAGATTGACACGCCAAAAGGCGATGACAATCTTAGGGATGCGCCCTCAAAAAATACGGGAATCCCTAAGATTGGCATCGTGATGAGGAGATGCCCAGCATAGGGATAGGGATATGTTCCATGCTGGTAAGAGCCGACACCAGGGCTTAGAAGAGAAGTAGACCTCTTGAGTGCACGCACTGCTCGGGGAATGCGGGAGAGAGCCGAAGAGGCGGACGAGGATGATAATGAGGAGGCGTACAGGGAGGGCAAGGGACGACGACGATGACGACGATGCCGGCGGCGGCGGCGGCGGCGGCGACGACGACGACGACGACGACGGGGACGACGACGACGAGGTCGAGGGCAGTGCTGGAGGCCTCCCGCAGCCCCGATTTTTCTGGATCTCGTGTCGCGAGCGCTGGTTTTCAAAAGGCGTTCGGCCTCCTCCTCCGCCGCGGCGCGTCTGCCGACTCCCGAGTCTGCGCCCCCTCTCCTTCATGAGAGCCCAGGAGGAGGGAAGAAACGGGGTCTCCGCGAGCGGTGGGTCGAGGAGCAGGGGATGCTGCTGCTGCAGCTGCTGCTGCTGATGATGATGCTGATGCTGGTGCTGATGCTGATGCTGATGCTGATGCTGATGCTGATGATGCTGATGCTGATGCTGATGCTGATGCTGATGATGATGATGATGATGATGATGATGATGATGATGATGATGATGATGATGATGATGATGATGATGATGATGCTGATGATGATGATGATGATGATGATGATGATGATGATGCTGATGATATGATGATGATGATGCTGCTGCTGATGATGATGATGATATGATGATGATGATGATGATGATGATGATGCTGATGATGATGATGATGATGATGATGATGATGATGATGATGATGATGATGATGATGATGATGATGATGATGATGATGATGATGATGATGATGATGATGATGCCACGATGATGGGGAGGAGGAGGAGGAGGAGGACGAGGAGGTGGTGGAGGCTGCCGCTGACCTCCCTTCTCTCTGCTCTCTGTCTCCTGCTGTCTGCCTCCTCCGTCCTGTCTTCCCTCCCGTCTGTCCCTCCCCCGTGCCCCCCTGCTCCTTCCGGCTTCCTCGTCGCCCTCGTCCCTTCCCCCTCTTGCCCACCTCTTCCCTCCTCCCTCCCTGCCCCTGCTTCCCTCCTCGTCCTCCGCTTAGACCCGACGTCGCAGAAAGCCCTCTCAGCACTTGTCCGCCTAGATCCCTTGCGTCCCCTCAGATCCCTCCTTGGATCCCTCCTTGGATCCCTCCTCGTCCTCCCAGCACAGTAGAACCACCCGGCTGGAGCCCTGGACCCCGTCTCGCTGCTGCACTTCCCGAGCCGGGTCGATGCGTGCAGGTCCCGGTGCTCGGAGCAGGGCAGGCGTTGCCCTGCGGGTGCTCGGCCTCCTCGCCCTCCTCCCCACCTCGCCCTCCTCGCCTCGTTGTCCTCCCTCCTCGCCCTCCTCGCCCTCCTCGCCCTCCTCGCCCTCCTCGCCCTCCTCGCCCTCCTCGCCCTCCTCGACCTGAGGATCCCAGGTTCCCCCCCACCTCGCCCTCCTCCCCCAAGTTGTCCTCCCTGTAGAGCGCGCGGGGAGGCCAGCTCAATCGCGCGATGGCCGTGACCAACATGAACGAGCACTCGTCGAGGTGTTGCGCCCACTTGGGCGCCTCCCCCCCCCCCAGAGGGAGGAGGGGGGTATGGGGGCGGAGGGGGAGGAGGAGGGAGAAGGGGGAGGAGGAGGGGGAGGAGGGAGGAGGGAGGAGGGAGGAGGGACGAGGGAGGAGTAAGGAGGAGGAGGAGGAGGAGGAGGAGGAGGAGGAGGAGGAGGAGGAGGAGGAGGACGGAGGCATGTGCAACGGTGGGGGGAGGGAAGGCGGGAGGGAGGGAAGGAAGGCGGAGTTTGAGGAGGAAGAGGAGGAGGAGGACGAGGAGGAGTAGGACGAGGAGGAGGAGGAGGAGGAGGAGGAGGAGGAGTTGAGGAAGAGAGGAGGAGGAGGAGGAGGAGGAGGAGGAGGAGGAGGAGGAGGAGGAGGAGTTTGAGGAAGAAGAGGAGGAGGAGGAGGAGGAGGAGGAGGAGGAGGAGGAGGAGGACAGGAGAGCCGACCAAGATGCATCAGGGACACTGCAGTACACCCGGATGTCCCAAGTCATTTGCACCTATGGGCCTGCAGGCTTTCCCGCTCATGACAGGCATACCGAGAATCGGTTGGCCAGCGAGGGCCCCGAACAGTTTGTTCTGAGCAGCCTAGGTGGTGCCATCTATGTGGTGCAGTATGTACTGTCGGGGGAAGAAGGAGCCCTTTCG